TTACAAGGAGACAAGCTGCACGGGTAGAAGTTCCTCAGAGACCTGCTTTTTTAGCAAGTCTGCCAGGGTATCTCACTAGTGAAACCAAGAGCAGCGCTTACGACCAGCACATCTTAGAGCACACCCATCTCTGCCCGCCAGGCTCATCTTCCTTTCAAGCCGCTCTGGCAGTTTCCCTTCACCCTTCAGCTGCCGACAGCCCTGGTAAGTCCCCCCCGGAATGCCAAGAGCTGCTCTGCTCCTCTACAGTGTGACGGGGGCTCAGAGCCCTCTCGGAGGCTATTGGCCCACCGTGCCTGTCCTCCGGGTTTATCTCAGCTCTACCCCCGGTTTTGTCACTGTATCCTTCAATCCCCTCTCTCCCCATAAAAGTGTCTAGCTGTCTCTTAAACTCACTTTACCATTTGCTTCTTTGACCTCACTTGGCAACTTATCCTTGTGTTTATTATTTGAGGTGGAATAGTTCTGGCTACATTCCTGGTTTTACTCTTAATTGTCTAATTTTTAGTATGGTGTCAGTGGGGTTGGGATTTGGGTTTGGACTTTTTTTAACTCATCACTCTTGTGACCAGGTCTTCTGTTTCATTAGGCTCCTTTGTGACATCAGGACTTCCAATAACTAAAAGAATCCTAATGAATCTTTTATTGGATCTTCCCAAATATTGCAGCTGGGCTTTCTTGTCCATTAGTGCCATTCTGAGCTGCATGCACTGCCTTTAATTACTTTTTTGTTAATTGGAGGGAAGGGGGAGGGGAGGAGGATTTTCCCCAAGTGAGGAAGAGTTCCCCAGCTGAAAAGCTGAGTGGTTCTCCCTGCCCGTACCTGCCCCAGAGGGAAGGTACAAACAGGGCCCAAGCAGGACTGAGCAGCAGAACTTTTGCACGCCCTCTGGCATCATACCTCTGCCTGCTGGTTGCCCTTGCACACCCACCTCAGGCCAGGTCCAGGCAGCTCTGAGGTGTGGGGCTGCAGAGCCCCCCGGTCCACTCCAGAGCCCCATGTCAGGCTTTTGGACAGGCTACTGGGAGCAGCTTGCTTACCATATTGGGTTTGCTGTCAGGTCACATTGACGACAGGAAAGGACGGCACATGATAGGGTTTTCTCAGTGCCTGTTTGGGGAAAGGGAAGGAGGAAAAAACACTGGTTTAAGGCACCCACCTGCATTGTCAGGAACTGTTCCCAGTTGCTGTAAGGTTGGTCTGTGGAGCAGTGAAATGAATCCTACTGACATCCTGAAACAGATAGGCCTGGTTGGAGTGGCTTCTAAAATGAAGAACTCACCTAACCCACCACAGAAAGAGAAGCAAAGAGCTCCTTCTTGGCCAGGCCCCCCTTCCCTTACAGTAATCAGCACCTGTCTGAGGGATGGACTGCCTTCAAGTCGGTTACCTAATTGCAGCAAGGTAAGTCTTTGTTCCTCAGTATGGTTAGTACAGTCTGCACCCTTAAAGACTATGGCATACACCAAAAGTATGATCATGTGGTTACAATTTAGGCATGTTAGCTCTCATGTTTTCCTAAAGTAGAAGGGACACATTGCTGGATTCACCTACCTTGAAAAAAATCGGTGCAAGTGAACCCTTGAATCTCAGCTCACACCATCAGAGAGAAAGGAGATCACATACCCTTTCCTACCCAAAGCATCTTGTACATGATGAAGTGACAAGAAAAAGTCAAAGTGTTACCTATATAATTAACATTCTCCGGTCCGGGGCGCTAGGGAAGCTACAGGACAGGAATAGCATGCCAATCACAGTAAGACATTAACCATCGGCCAAAATAACATCAGTCACTATTTTCAGTTTAAGAACAGAGGGCAGAGGCATAAGAGATTTGCTCAATTAATCGTGGGATTGAAAATTTTCCAGAGAGCTAAGGATACTTGTAAGATATAACAGAGTGCAGCCCCCTCATCTTTCATATGGAGGTCAAGCTTACAGAAACTCAGCCTGCTGCACAGTTTCTGCTCGCCGCAAAATGAGGAATTGCATGCTGCAAGAACCAGCGTCTGGGGGCTGCTTCTGAGAAATTCACGTAGTAAAGCACTTCAGTAAAGGTGGCTTACCTTGCTGATAGAATCTTGGAAACAGGGAAATGAAAGGGATAGACATAAAATGCTGCTCATGACAAAGACTGTAAAATAACTAGGAATAAAAATTTTTAAAAATCTTGTAAACATTTACCATTGTCTTCACTGTAGTCAGCAGGTTGGGGGGTGTAATGATCACCAAACAACAGAGTAGCAATAAGTACTTTCACTGAAAAAGTGGTGACAGCAAAACCTAAAGGACGTGCTCTGTCACTCATCAACCCAAGCTTCATTTTTTGTAGCCATCCACCATTATTATTTGGCATGCAATTCACTAAGCAGCAAAACCACGGCTGTAGTTATTTACAGGTCACTGGAAGCCTGGCCTGTGCTGCAGTGGAGTTTTGGTTGTATTTCACAGAAGATAGTTTTATTTATGTTTGACTAATGCAGGCACAAATGGAGGCTGATTGTCCTTTTTTTGGCTCTTAGTACAAACACTCGTGGCAGGTCTCTATTTTGGGTGCAGACTGAAAAACAGACTGTTTTGTAGTTGCAGAAGACTGCTGGGTAAATCAGAGGACCTTGTTATTGCGACTGAACTCTTCTCTCAAGAAAGCAGGAGGAGTTGCTTTATTTTTTAATTCTGTGCAGTTTTATGTACACCATTCGCTCCAAATATTTGATGTTTGCCACACTTGTTATGAGTTTCTCCAGAGAGATGCTGTCTTTTGGCAGCAAAAGATAAAGTTGACTGATATAAATGAGTCACAGTACCCCAACAGTAATTAACAGTGATGCAATACCCATGCGAAAAAGAGGACTTGAAGAATTAACTGTTGAGTTTTCTTGACGATGCAGCTGCACTTTGAGAGAGAAAGCTCAACCCATCATAGAACTCCATTGTGTACATTAGAGAAAAAAGCTTGGCAAGATACATTAAAGATTTTCGCTAAAGAGATACAAATATTTTGCAAGGTCAAAGGGCGCTGAGGCAGGCTGTACTTACTTCCAAAGAAAAGTAGGCAGTATGACAAAGAAACAGTAATATTTTTTTATCTTCATTTTCACACTTCATCATCTAAGAAAGACTGTCTTTTTCAACC